TTCATCGATGAAAGCGCCCCGCAAGGGGCAGCCACTGTGCCAGAGCAGCTTCCGAATGAGTACTTCTACAACGGCAAGAAGCATCTCATGAAGCCTCTCAACCCGGAGGACATTGTCGGCGACAAGAATGTGACCTTCAAACATGGGGATCTCAAATTCTTGTCGAAGTTGCTGCGAGGCCACGCCATGGAGGAGTTCCCAGGACTCGTCTTCGACAGAGGATGCTGGACAGACGTTGACTCTCTGCTCCAGGTCTTCAATGGCGCCCGGAATGCACGCTGGGGCGTTCGGCAGCTGCTTCGAGCGGCGAAAGCCGATAACAAGGGAAGGATTAGGTTGTTGGGCATCGATGTCCCCATGAAGGACACGTTGGGACAGCCGCTTTTCCCAGTTCGCGTGCGGGTGGCGCAAGGACACAACCAGAAGCTCATCGGCAACAACCCGGATGCGGACTTTTTCCTCGCTACCAGGTTCTACAGTGGACTGTCCAAGGCCGACGCGGAGCTGCAGAGCAGCATCAGGGGGGCCACAGTTCTCTCCATCGAGGACACCCCCGCGAAGTTGTACCATCGCACAAACGAGCGTGGTATGCAGGGGATCCTTCGCGACGGCATGATCCCTGGCTCCGCCAGGTCGGACAGGTCCCACAATTACTTGTCGCCGTGCAGGCTGGACGATACCAACTACAAAAGTGGCATGCGGTCGAACCAGCCCATTGAGCTGGCCGTCGATACTCAGCGGGCTATTTCAGCTGGGTGCGTCTTCTTTGTGACGGAGACCGACGGCGTCCTGACCCGCGACAATGTGCCCCCGGATTGCATCCTGTCTGCCGTCGATACCAGCAAGAAGAACCTCCCGCTTTATGTCGCCGAGCACAAAGAAGCCACCCGCGAGGGTGAGCCAGAGCATATCTTCCGTGCCAAGCGCGACTACGAGGAGGCGGCAGCTAGCTCATCATCGGCACCACCGCCCAAGCAGGCGGCAATTGCACCAAAGCCGATTGCATCGAAAAAGATGCCGAAGGTGGCTCCCAAGCCCACTGCTATCGTCGAAAATGATGAGGCTATGGGCCTGGTTGAAGCCACCCGCGAGGGTGAGCCTGTCGATGCTGCTGGTTTCGCTCCCGAACCCGAGTTGAGGCCAAAGGGGAGGAAAGCGACACGACGGATGCGGGTGAAGACGAGCCGTATCCACTTGGCTCACACCCGTGCAGACAATGCCAGGCTGTGGTGGCAAACGGCATGCTTTTCTGCTTGCGCTGCAAAGCCCCACAAACGGACGACTCGGCAAAGATCACGAGAAGGGCCTTCGAGAACTCGAGACTCAGGCAGCGCCTCCTCGCTACCGCAGCTACTGGAGCACAGAAACCCATTGATGATCTCCTTGCGAGTGACCTTCGTGGGCTTGGCGACGGACCCAAAAAGCGTGGTCAGATGAGTGCAGAGGCAGCCGCAATTCGTGATGCCAAAGACCGTAAAGTCAGAGCCGCGAAAATGAAGTATGACACTGTGTCGGACCGCTTCGAGCAGGACGCGCAGTTCAACCTCAGGATGATGCAAGAGGGACGCACCTTCGAGGACATGCAAAAGTTCGATCACTTGGCGAATGCTGTTCTCCCCGATCCGGGGCGCAGTGAGGAGCAGCGCTACTTGCGTGCTGGCTCCCACTATGGCGGTGGCAATGTCCCGCCGGCCAAGTTGGTCTACTATGCCCACTGCGAAGTGGAGCCGTTGAGGAACCTGCGATTCATTGATGATACAGCAGACGTTCCCATCGGCTTGACATACCTCGGTGCATTCCTTCCTCCGCGACTCTATGCTGAGGTGGCAGCTGTGAACGACGCCGCGAAGAGAATCCTGACCTTCGACGGTGAAGTCTACATTTCGGCTACCACAACTGATGGCATCACAACTGAGATCGGGCAAATCCTTACCGATAGCCTCCGTAGTGCTCAGATCCAAACAGACCAAACGGAACGTTTGGCAGAGCGCAATCGTCAGGCTGCAGTACAGAACCGCCCATCCCAAAAGGGACAAGGTCGTGGTCGTGCTGCAGACCCGGAGCCGATGTATAGAGGCTATACTCAGGCCCAGTGGGACGAGTACTATCGCCAGCGCCGTGGAGGTTACACTCAGGCCGAGTGGGATGCATGGAACCGCACCCATAGGCGCTGAGTCCTCATTTTGATTTGCTTCGGACCTGCAGGGCTTCCCCGTTGTGCTTTATATATGCTCGCTTTGGCAAGCTCTTCACAAACTGTTGAAGCCCAGGGCAACCTGGAGCCATGTAGTATCCGCCTTAGCTCGAGCAGCACGGCGAGGGGGGTGTAGATTTTACCCTGCCTCCATTGCTATTTCTATGGTCCTTAGCTATGTCTGTACGCGCGCATACTTGGCCCAAGTCCCCGTTGGAAAAAGACCACAGGGTTGACTGACCGGTAGTTAGTCGTGCTAAGCTGTTAGCCTGAGAATCTTCAAAAAACCCACAAAAATCCAGAAAACATATGCAAGGAATAATTCCAGTCAGAGGTGGAGAACGGTCACGGCCACCAGGCTAGATTCTGAAAACCAAGGAAAGAAAAACTAAAACCACGAAAATATACAAAAAAAACCAGAAAATTACACAAAAAAGAACTCCAGTCAGAGGTGGAGAACGGTCACGGCCACCAGGCTAGATTCCGAAAACCAAGGAAAACAGAACTAAAACCAGGAAAATATACAAAAAAAACCAGAAAAAAGACAAAATAAATACTCGCTCCAGAGGCGTCTGGTAATTGGAGTGTTGGACAGGGCTTGGGGTCATGTCAAGGTTTAAGTTTTGACGAAACTCCAGGACTCCACCACATTCATGGTTTCCCCGTCATGTTCAAACTACGTGGTGATAGTTTTGTCAATACGATGCCTCCTTGATTTGCACCTGCTTCGGCTGTTGTGCCGTATCCTTCCTTTACTCTTTGCAAAGAGTCGGCGAGTGTTCCTGTGATACCGTGTTAAGCAGATTCCTGGATGTCACCTAGATTTCGGTCTTAGTGGCATTTGAATGGTTTCATTTCTGCACATGAATCGTTTTAGTTGTCGCTGTCATTGAACTGTTGTCCTGCCGCGTTGCATCTATAGTCTATAGCGACACGAAGGCCTGGCTCTCAACCAAAGGGATGTAAATACCGACCTGTAAATACTGACCTGCAATGACCTGCAGTCGTTGAGGTGTTAAGAACAGCGGCAGTCGGGATGCAGGGAGCGCTGTATCTCTAAATTATCCATCGCCAAGATTGGGGCTGTCTCTTCCAAGGACTACAAATACTACACCAACGGCAAGCATGACATGCTGAAAAAGATCTTTGGACTTTTGGGGACTCCTGAGCAAAAGGACGTTGCCATCCGATCTGCAGGGTGCTGGAACTGGGCTCGTGCCAGTTTTGTTTTTGTGAGGACATTGATGCATGCATTGAGCGCGAAGATGCAAAGCGCAACCTGCCTTCAAGGTCTAAGGTGCTAAGGTGCCGTCTGGTCACACGAAGACCGTGGCTGCTGACAGCGAAGCTGAGGTTACATAGCTTGCTTCCCAAAGCAAGTTGGAGACGGATTGCGCAAAGTATTCAAAGACTCTTGGCACTGTGCCGAGGATGATGAGACATGCTCTACACATCAGCACGTGTGCGCTAGCCATAGTCTGTCGAGGAAATTGATGCTGGCATGATCGATATCCTTGAGAAGATGAAGCCTGTTGCAAATATGGCTTTGCTCAGCATTGAGGAACATGCTTGCTGCAAGCAATGCAGCTTACATTTAAGTTGTCGTGCACTTGAAGCAACGCTTAGGTTAATCTTCAATCCGAAGACTCGTATCTCGGTACAAGAGGCAAGCCAACACTTGCACGCATCCTACGTCGCAGTCGTTGTAGATGAACCCTGGCGTGTCAACAAAGGCTGTTCTTTATCAGTTGGTATGCCTAGTCAAGCACGTGGCGAGGGCCGGTCTGCACATTCGCCATGCAAACTTTGTCCTTTGACAGGCCTTGGCCCACCCGCTTCTCGCAGACATTCGCGACAAGACACTGGAAACTACGTCGCCAGAAGTGGTCGTGCTACTTTGTCGCAGGGGTCAGACTGAGTCTCTCCGGCATGGAGCACTGGCTGCCTCTTCGCCCCATCGCTTCCCCTTGTGACGAAGGATGAGCGCGATTTGAGGCTGCGCTTGTGTCTTGAGGCTTCCCTTCGAGAAGGAGCCCGACCTGGACGAAGACCTGCTGAGCATATTGACAGCACTTCATGCTGCTTGTGTCACAAAACGAAACCGGCATGCCGAACATTCCGTCGCACAGAAGTTGATGTTGTCGGCTTCGAAGATGCCCCTGCTCGAAGACCAAGGGCGGTACTTCAATGCAGAGCTGCGAAAGTGACCAGGACGCCATTGGTGTACTGCGTGTGAGGCATGTTGATCCGCCAAGGTGGCCAGGTCACGTGTGTACTAATCTGACTAGTGAGGTCAGGGATTGCAGACCAGCCCAGGTACCATCCAGAGGTGCCGGAGTACAAACCGCTGCGGGGCTACGGCAGCTGAAAGTCGAGCACGCACTCGTGGCAGAACTCCGTGTTGTGCGGTACAGAGCAGCGGAGTCGAAGTCACCGTGGCCTCCGCGGCTGCTGAACACTAGCGGCGATTGTGAGCAAGGCTTTGCTGCAGCGATGCTCAGCTCTTTTAACTGCTCAACAGAACATAGGACGTGTGCTGTGGGAGTGTGACATGAGAGCCGGCCCGGATACTGGCTATGACGCATTGCAATGTTGGAAGCGCAAGTACTGCAAGGTCATCTCCCTCAAATGCTCCACTTGTCTTTTGCATTCTTAATGCCGAGATTGCTAAGTGACGTGCGAAAGATGTCTGCGATCACGAGATGTTGCATTCCATCCTGAGTATGAGGCTGGAATTACAGTGAACTACCAGGTATCAGGAACCATTCATGTGTTCACAAGCTGGGGGGCTCCGTACGGCGGACAGGAGTCGAGGTCGGAGGCGCTGAGGACTTAACAACATGGAGAACCATTCAGTCGAATACGGCTTTGTTGGCCAGTCGTCAGCAGAATGCCACGTACAGTGCACCTTAACTCCGGTCTAAGATGTCTAAGGTCTCTACGTAATGCGCCGACTGCGCAAGCGCAGGTGCGGCGCCCTTTAGTTGGGCAAGATCGTAGGGAGGACAAAGGCTGCGAGCCCGCGTGCATCTGAATAAGGGTCGTCGTGATTTCAGCCACATGCATCTCTTTCGTGCAGGCAAGACCACATGGCTTTGCAGCTGTGGAAATCGCGCAGCTTGTTGTGGGTGCCTTACTGTGGACGGGCCTTCGTGATTTTTTCCGGGCTGGCCGTGGAATGAGCGATTGTTAGTGATTGTTTCTTCTTGTCCAATATTCGGATGTGGCTGCTCACGACGGAGACGGCAGGTGGCATTTGCCGTGGGCATGTCGACGAGTGGAGGATAGCTTGGGTGCTACAGCAATCTGCCGCAAGTCATCAAGTCAGATTTCTGATGCCGTGCTGTTTGGGTGAACTATCGGGACGCCTTTGAAGGCTCAAAGATAAGTCAACCTGCAAGCATGTCCCAGCTTGTCCAAGGTCCGGGTGAAGACCGGTACATAAGATTTGAGAGCTTCCTTTTTGCAAGACTTGGGCCGTATGGCAACTTAGCAGATGACTCCACATGAGCAGCGTCAGCCCGAGGCATGTCTGGGGGGCAGAGCAGCATAGCACCGCTTAAGCACCTCTAGCAGGTGCCGGGCTTTGGCACAGCCCCGCGCTGAGTTTGAACTTGCGGCCTTTTGCCTGGTGCAAGTTCGAAAAGCTGTCTTCAAGGTTTCTCGATCATCACCGAGAGCCTTCATGGCGTTTGCAGCAAGTCCTACATGGAGTTTACAAGGTCACCATCGCACTGCGCGTTGGCCATATTCCTCACCTCTTCCACACTAGGCGCACAAGATCAAATGGCACGCCATCGACGGCTTACCCGACACACTGAAGTGGCGACTCAAGGAACGGAGCCTTTCGCGGCAGCATGGCTTTGATGCGTATGATGCGTACAGAGCAGGACCAGTTCGGGAAGTACACCACCTCTTTCAAGCCCGAGGCGGAGCGGCCGGAAGCGGTGTGAAGCGCAGCGACTCAAAGCGTTTCTGGTCTCGGAGGCAGCGTCAGAAGGAGATTCTGCGGAGAAACTGCTGTTGAAGTCACGCACTGACGAAGCACGTGCCGGAGCCCCAAGCAGGAGGATCACCCCAAGAAATCCACACTTAGACTTTGCTTAGACCGAGTCTGAGCCTTCCAGGTCGAGGCGGTGTCTTTGAAGTTTCACTCCCATCGTTCGCTCTGCATCTCATCGCAGGCTTGGGCTTGTTTACTCGCATGTCGCTTCAGCATGTCAGAGCACGAGAAAGGTGAGAGAGAAAGCATTTCAGCGACCCGGAGACATAGGGCTAGGAGGGACATGCCCGCAAGACGAGCCTGGATCACAGTCACAGCACTGAAGGCAATACCAGGCCACAAGGCAAACATCAGGAGCAGGATCTCCACTCTATGAGTCATCCCCGGTCGCCTTGCGAAGAGTGCCGCGACGGGCGAAGCTTCGACTCCACGTTTGGCGGATCGGGGGGGCCACAGCGCAGCGAGAAGCAGGACCTAAGGAGCGAAGTGTTTGCTTCAAAAGTAGGGTGGTGGAGATCATGCACAAGCGACAGGAGTAAGCCCGGCTGAGAAATTGTGTGAGCCGCGTAAGAAACAGCTCAGCTGCAAACCTGTCTCAGGCGGGGGACCGCTACCGGGGTCGGCTTCTGACAACTGGAAACCTCTTTCCAACTTGGCCGATGTGCTGGCAAGCAGTTGGGGAGGTGGCAGCGGTGCCTGCGCACAGAGTCATGTTGTTACTGTAACACTTGAAATTGTTGGCCACTGGAGCGACCGATCCAATTTTGCGAGGGATCCTTTCGTGTAAAGATTTCATTAATCCTGGTGACTTGACCATTGTGTCCGAAATAATGAACTTGTAAGTGATGTGCACTGACTTTGGCAGAAAGAAGGCCGGCAAACACATCAGCCTGATCCACCCTGTCGTCCACGTAACGGCCAGCTTGAAGATGTCGTTTGATGTCGTTTGGTCTGCCCTGAATCACTGCGCGCTTATCTGCACTCGACAGGGCACCTTCCAGCATCATCATGGCGAAGACTGCATCCAGCACCATTGCTCAGGAGAGCACCGAGACCTCAGGCTCCCCTCAACAAATCTGGGTCTCCCTTCCATGACGGGTGAGCCAATCGGCTCGGGGGGCTTGACACCTTCTCTTTGCCCAGGAGAACAGAAGAGAGAGAGAGAGAGAGAGTCGCGATGGCCTGAGGGTCGCTTGACCAGGCCCTAAGCCCTGACCCAGTTTATTCATAGTCCAACACACTTCTCTCACGTAACTGGGGGATTCGATGTTTTTCACGCCCCGCCGAAAGCCCCATAACAAATGGGCGGCCCATGAGGCCGGGGGGCCTGACCCGCCCCTTATGCCCTGCAGAAGAAGAAGAGAGTGTGTGCAGAGTGTGTGTGTGTGTGCTTACGCGGCGCATTTCCCGAAGCACTATCCCAGGCAAACTTGCCAACAGAGTGACACCGAGCAAACCCTCAACAGAGGGCGTGCCTCCATGCCGGGGGGGCACCCCCTTGAGCCCAGAGAAAGAAAGAGGTGGGTGACCGGTACAACAGCCATGAATGCAAGATCTCACTGTGCCGCCTCAGGTAGGCTGCAGCTTCCAGTGCGCCTTCTGCGCCACTGGAAAAGTGGGTTTTAAACGGCAGTTGGATGCAGACGAGATTAGCGACCAGGCTCTTACAGTTAGCTTCCCGTAACATGATGACCGTTCCACGATTCGGGTTGCAAAATTTGCGGTATGCATGCTGCCAGAAGCAGGTGCTTCTCTTCCTGCAGCGTGGACACAAGGACCAGCGGTCATGTGCAGCCACAGTTGGTTGCTCTGGCGTGGTGTGCTTGATGAATCTACTTCGACGACCAAGCTGAAAGAGGTGGACGGCGTTTCCTTCATGGGGATGGGCCCTTGGCCGAGGGCATTTGGACCGTTTCGGTCTGGCCGAGTTCAGGTATGACATGCGCCGCATCCACAGCTAAGGCGAACCTTTGGGGAATCCGAAAATATTTGATGCGCTTCGCATCCTCACAGCTTCGGAGCTTTATGGAATGTCGGCACGGAGGACCTCTACGATGTTCAGTGGGCCGCAACATGGAATATTGACAGTGACTTCTCGCAGCCTTGCAGGTTGAACGTTTCGACTGTCGGGGTGCTTCCGGGCATCGTGAAGCTGACCGAGGACGTGTGTACTGCCGAAGTCTTCTCGTCACATGTTCCGGAATTGCGGCACAAGGAGTTCCCACAGGTCAACTTGGCTTTTTCCTTGCACTCACCTTTCACGGAAGAAAGAAACAAGCTTGTGCCGCTTCGGTCGCATGTTATCCGTTGACTGCATCTGTTGTCACTCCATTGCGACGCCATGCGAAGCCCACCAGGCCGCTCAACAGGATGTTTCCGATGGAGGAGGCCTGCTGGTTGGCAATTGACACAAAGGCGCTAATGGTTGCAAGTGGTGCTGCAGGTGTTCAATGTCCTAGATCAGCGCATTCGCAGCACTGGCCGTCGAATCTGGATCTGCTACTTACTGCTGCAGGCAACGTAGCATGCTCGCTTTCAATTCCTAATCCTAGTCTAGTCATATGATAAAGCCTGCAGAGCTCTGAGAATGGCAGGGCATCAATGATTCCGCAGACCATGCTCGGGCTTTGGCCCAGATGATTCGAGACCGTCCCGCGGAGACGCGGTTCGCACCTCAATCTCGTGAACCTTCGAGTCTAGTGCAAGCGGCTCTGGCTCTGAAAAAACCCCGGGGGAAGAGTATCTGTGACACTGAGATCGAACCTGAACCAAGCGCGGCCTGTGATTTCTCAGCAGATCTCAGCAGGTATTTGTACCACGTCAACTTACTGCCCTACAATGTGGGCAGCGGGCTTATGGAGCCGCGGCACCCAACTCGCCTTGACAAAGCTAACCCACAGCCCAAAACCTTCCCTGAGTGAGGTCGAGCCGTCCCAGAGAAGTATAGCAGAGCTCGCCCTGAAGGCTGGCAGACCCTTCGGGCGGATAGAAGTTTCGGGTGCTTGCGTGTCGAAGGAGTCGAGCAGTTCCAGCGAGTCTTGCAGCGACCCGGCTGCAAAGTTCTTCCCTATCGCTGCTTGTTGCCGTCATGTCGGTGCTGGTGCTGCCTCAGGCAGAAGCGTGTTTCCTCCTCCTACCGAAATTCCTTCGGTCATGGAATCGATGCTGCTTGTGGACAGCTTTTTGCGGGCTATGAGGAGGCAGAAAGCTTGCCATGTCTTGACAGTAAACAGTGAAAACACTGCGTTGGCAGTTGGATTCAATGAGCGTTGCGCACTTTCGCGGCTAGCGCGCAAAAGGTGGCAGCAAGGGCTGCGCGACTAGGTGGGGAGCCTAATCAGGTTTTGGCTGATGCTGGGATCTTGAATAAATGTCATTCAATCATCGTCCTAGGCCTCATTAAGCTCTGAGACCATTCAGGACTGGGTCCCGACAATCGACTACCTCCCAAAGCTTCTGACATGCTGGAAAGCACGTGACGTGCGTTGCCGGCCGTCGCGAAAATCTGGTCAGTGGCGAGCTCACAGATGCTTGATCCGGTTAGATGGTTTCTAAAGACTCCGATGCCTTGTTGCACCTGGCAGCACCTGCACCTTGTCAGCATGCATTGATTGAAACTGGAAATGGTCGGGACTTGCACAGAGACCTGCCAGGACTTGTTGCACTGGAAGGCTTTCTTCACGAAGATCGCGGGCGCCTTAGCTGCTTGTGTTCCTGAGAAGCAGGAGTGAACCCAAACCTCATCAGTCCGTGCGGTTCCTCTCGGATTCCACATCATCCGCAAGACAGGATGATGTTAAGCGTGATTGCCCACTGACATGAAGGTCCACAAGATTGAACTGCGGCTCCAGGCAGGACCTGTGTCATTGCTTGAAATTGACAGCACGCATAGCAGGATGGCATTGTCCATATTGAGGCACCAAGGTGTTCAAGGAGCCGGTCGCTTCCATGGCAGCCCCATCCCCGGCAGCCGACTACCCTGCGAACGGAGGATTCCGGTGCCAGACTAGGGACTCTAGGGACCAATGAGAGCCAAGGAATCTTCTGAGAGTTTCATTGTCCCACGATGGTGCTGAATCCTTGATATCATATGTGCAATTTTCAACAACGTGTAGCTTGTGCAATATGGCATGTTTAACAAATGGCCTCTTTAGCGGTTTCTTTCAGGAATTATCTCGATTCTGAGCGACTCCCGAATCCTTTTCTAGGGAAGAGTCCCAAGAGCAGGACGAAGGCCACTATGCAACGAGACTCGTACTAGCCATGTCAAGATTTTCGGGAGGTACTGGTACTGTGGTATGGAGTGTCGCTTCAGTCGGCGTGCTTTTGCTCGCTTCGCCTGCTTTGGTTCAAGTTAAGCAGGGCCAGTCTCAAGTACGATGCTGCATGGTGTCAGCGTTCGCCCTGGGATCGGAGGGACGCGGTGATGCAGCATAGGTCGCTGGGAGAAAACAGCTGAGCTTGGAACTGTGTGGCGCAAACTAGGCAGCTTATCAGGTTAGTTATATATATATATATATATATATATATATCAATAGGGAGCCGATGCCGCTGCCGAAATCAAAGCCGAAGGCCCCAGCCCAGCTTGAGCTTTGCATGCAGAACAGTTGCTACTGTAGCACTCCCAGCGCGTGTTGAGTCCTTTTGCCGTTTTGCGATGTCTTGCGAGCAGTGGACGGTGTCTGTTGCCACAGCATGCTTGGCAGCAGAGGCTTCGTGTACGCACATCTAATCACATGTATGCAGAATGCCTGCTTGTGCAGGGTGAGGGTATGTAAGGGTCGGTAGGCATGCCGCCGCGGGCCGAGGGCTCATCGCAGAACCGCTTGGTTTCGAGATGTTTCGAGCAGCTGACGAATGGGTTTCACGAGCACCTGCAGCAGCGAGGGTGTCGGCTTCGCATCGGGACGGCGCAGGCCTTCCAGTCGAAACACCATCGCATCAAGCTAGCGGAGATCCAAGAGTCGGAATAGATTGCTGCCCTGTACTGTTTTGCCCTGCATGTCCATGCCGCACCTGTGTCGCAGCGTGGCTAAAGTACGAAGAAGACCGAAGGTTCGCGGGTCATACCCGAGCTCGTAACGTGAATGCTTTTACTGGCTGTGCTGGTGATTCGGTGAAGGTTTGTAGGCTGGCCAGGCAGGGCGGGGCGGTTCCCGGCTCCGCCTACTGTTCCGCTTCTGCTACAGCATGCCACACCTTGTCAACATGCTGCAGGAGTTTTGTTGCCCCCTCGAGGATTATGCCTATTTCTTGCAGAAAGTCTGGAAGCATCTCGTTGGACCTCGAAATCATGTAAGGGAGACTGTACGCCCTGCTGGGTTCGCTGTGCGGCTTGTGTCGGCAGAATGTTTGCAACGTTTGCTTATCGAACGCACTCGACTCTTGCAGGCTTTCCAAGCAGTCACAGGGGACACCAGGAATCCAAGGAAGGAAAGGCTTCATATCCAACGGTGAATCCTGTAGAGTCTCACAATGAGGAGTGCCCAGCGTTGGCCGCAAAACATCTTTCAAATTTCGAAAGACTATACATGTAGGGAACAGCCTCGACATGGATTCTCATGGACAGAACCCACATCATGATACCATTGCCATGCCAGCCGTTGGTTGAACCAGACAAACGCTTGCACTTTGCAGCAAAGCTCTTACTTACCGCCAACCCCCCTCCCGAACCTCTCCTTGTTCGCAGGTCCGTGTCCTTTTCTTGGACGTGGACGGCGTCTTGCATCCGGCCTCTTGCGGCATCCAGCTTCAAATGGCCCTTGGCTCAGCGGAGGAGTGCCCGGAGCCAGCGCAAAGAGTTCTTGGTCCCAATTGTTGGTCCTAGTTTCATACCGCAGGACTCCTCGCTCACGCATTTCACCACCGGAGAATATGGGCTGTTTCAACCCCGTGCGATGACATCTGGCAAGAAATTGTTTCTTTCCGGTCTCATGCTGTCCGGTCTCATGGCTGTTTCATGCCGCGACCAGCCCGAATTGTGCGGGAGTGCCAGGAAATGCCTCGCACGCATTCTCGTCTGCTCTGGAGCACGGGTGGTGCTGTCAAGTGCATGGCGCGCTTTGCCTGGAGGCCGCTTTTCTCATTCTTTCCGTTCTCGTTCTCTATTGCGGACTTCACAGTCTTCAAGGCTGCGATTTGTGAGGCCGGCAGGCAGTCGACCTGGTACTTCGTAGATGGGGACTGCTGCCCGTGTACTCGGTCACACCTGGAGAAGGTGCGGATAGAGACTTGGCATGATTTGGACATTTTCGGAGTAATGTTCTTAACGTTCTTCCAAGGCTCTTGTGTCAAGCTCCACAGAGGGTGAAGGTAATGTTTGACTTAGAGCCGTCCCAGGACGAGTTGATCATATTTGGACTTGGCTGTCGGAGCATCGCGACCAAGTGGAGGGTTATGCTGTGGTGGATGACATGGATCTGTCATTGGACTCCACGAGCCAGTGACCTAGACAGTTTGGATCAACACACATCAAAATCATCAAAACCGAGTCGGGATGCCAAACAAGCACGTGCTCTTGTGCCAGGCTTCCAAAGTCAGCCATCTCGCATTGCAGCCCACTTCGTCCGAACACCTGGCACTGTAGGCACGAAGCCTCGGCACAGTGATGCGGATGCAAGTCATTGGCATTCATTGGTCATTGGGCCAGGACTATCATCCGGCCATGTCTCGCGGCTGCTGGCCAAGCTGCAGAAGGAGCCGACACTGCCAAAGGCGGGAATCTGAGCTGTTACGGCTTCAGGGCTGTGCCTCATTCCAGTGGCTGCAGCCGAGGACCCGACAGGAATCGCAGCTTTACTACCTTCTCTTCCGAAGCCTCGAACAGGAAGCTGTTTTGCCAAGCGGCATGCCGAGTCTTGACTGTGGCAATTTCGCAAGCTGGCAGGCGCACCACGGGCAAACACCGCGCACACTTTGCCGGAGGCGCGGGATGATGCAGGATGCCACACCGTGCAGTACCCTTCAAAGTCTGCTGGCAGGGGCATCAAAAGGAGCGCTCTTGGCATGCTCGTGCAAGAACTTCCAGGAGGCCGGCACCATTGCGTAATTAAGACGGGAGTTACGCTGCCCCCTGATACGCATTCCAGGTGTGACTTTGCCACACAGTCCTCCCTGGAATCAGTAGATTCGGTCCGGTAGATCTTATATGATATATTCTTATGTGATTTCAGTGGTACGCAGGTGGAGGTAAGTCCAACTATCGCTAACTGGTTTCAGAGGTTGTGATGCATGTTCTCCGCAGCGTCCCTCTCCAAATGCCGGGGGGGGATTACGTCTTGGCCTGCTCATGGGCAAAGGCTGGGCCGGAAGCCAGGAATTCCTTGAAGACGCTGTGCAACTGCACCGTTGTATCGATTCGAGCACGAACAAGGCTTCTGGATGCAATGAAGGCTCGCTCGGTGACATTGCGGGCAGCAGAGATTGTGACTCTGTGAGAGTATTGAGCAATTCCTCCGGCTTTGCATTTCGATGTGCAGGGAGTTCGTCTCCTCAGAGGCTTGCTGTTGACTCCTTAGGATGTGAGAATTGACCGGAGCGCCGGAGTTATACGGTATGCTGCGGGGGCCAAGGTTGGCACCAGTTGTTCTGGCCAGCTCGGCTAAGCAGCATCTCCGCCAAGGTGTTAGAAGCTTACCCGGGAAAACAGTATCTGTGCCTCCACGTCCGACATATCAGTGTGGCAAGGGCTTGGCGTCCCAGAACTCGATAGGAGGCCTGGTGCAGCGCGATCGTGAGCATGCCAGCGTGCTGCACGTTCCCGACATTTTCAGGAGCAGCTTTGGCCCATGGGGCCACCTCTGCTCTGGAGGCGCCAAGCAGCGCAGCAGCACACCTTCCGCAGCAAATGCTGCTTGATGCAAGAGCACCAAGGTTGCACTTGTACTTGTACCAACTTACCTAAGACCTGTCAGGAAGAATACGGTTTGCTGGAGAGCACCCTCCTCCGTTCAGACGAGGAGGAAAGCCATGGAGACGCATGTCATCGTCGATGGGTCTTTTCATGGCATGCCTCAGGGGGAACGCAGCATCTTGAGACACATGCGCCGGTGCAAAGCTTAGTGGGCGCATGTTTGAGTGAGCATGGGGTTTTGGAACTCGGTCTTCGATTTGAGTGTTCTCAGAATCTGAAGAACGACGTGTCATCTCACATGGCGAGATCACTGGTGTTGTTCGGTGTCATGCAGAACCGCAACACGCGCGCCGCCAGAAATCTGTAGGTAGTGCATTGCAGGAGTATCCACAGGAGCTTTTCGCAGTTAGTTTGGAGTTTGGAATCTCTCGGAAATCAAGACTCGGATTTCCAAGACAAGCGCGAAGCTTACCCGGGCCCAAATGCAGTCTTGGCAGAGGAGACGACATGATGCACAGGAAGTTTATATGTACCGTGGCCACTCAAACGTGCGCCTGTACCTTGGTCCGTTTATCTCATTCAATGTTGGACGTTGGCTGCATTGTGCAGAGCTGAGTTGCCAGCAAGTTTGCTGTAGTTACCGAGTACTCGCTGACGAACACAATGGCGTTTTGCCACGTGGCATCGCGAAACAGCACACGCAAGAGATCAAAGAATGCCTGGCAGTGCAAATTGAGCACGGGATTTGTGGAAGGGCGAGGAAAGACAACACTTTCCCTTCAGTCCTAAGCCTTCCTCGAAGCACCTGAGTCTGTCCAGATAATGGTGGCTGTTGTTGTTGTTGTTGTCACTGTTGTTGTTACTGTTATTCTTATTGTTCTTGTTCATGTTCTTCTTCTTGTTATTATTCTTCTTGGTGTGGTTTTTGTTGTTGTTGTTGGTACAGACAAAAACAGCAGCCCGTACTTGTTGTTAATTAGAAGCAATTGGGAAAGCTTCCGGCGACCGCATACAGTAGGGTGCCTGTAGAGTTTTGGGAAGTGCATGCCATGGTTTACACAGCAACTGCCCTATGATAGAAATGCGGTGTAGGCTGGGTGGTTGTTGTAAAAGGGGGGGTCAACACAACAGGCGGGGCT